CCCGAGTCGGGCGTCATTGTTAAGAGCTCGCTCACTCCGGCGCAGGTCAGTAATTGTAGGGAGCATCAATACGTAGTGATAGTTGAGACAGTATTAATAAATTCTGCACGTACTGGGCCGCCCATATAAATCTGTTTCGAGCTTACCCTTATCCTTGAAAATTGCAATTGCAAACCAGCAGAAACAGCAGTAGCAGCAGCAGCAGCAGCCGCCGCAGCGACGCCAACTCAGGACGGTGGAGCTTGGCAACAAAGTGTAGCTGCCGAAGTCTGATGTTCGCAGAAACAAAAAGAGGCTCCAACACCAGCAAAAGATACGCATTCCAGGCTTTGAAAAAGTTATAAAAAAAAAAAGGTAAAGAGCAAAGACAAAACTTTGCGTGGGCTTCCAGGAAAGGAGGGGGAATGAGACAGCGACAGCGACGACGGCAACGACGATGACGAGCATTGCCCTGGGGATGTGGCCCACTCACACAGTCAGCTAATAAAGGCAGCAGCTGCCTTTTGGATAAGCCACACGGATAAAGCTGGCTTTTTTAGGGGCAATGTTTTTGTTCTGCCAACTGCAACAGTTTCTGCGGCATTCCAGCGCATGCGCACTTCAGCGTCAGCAAGCACCAACAAATAGCAACAGGCTACATGACAAAGAAAATAAGAAAACAACAACAACAACAGCAACATCAACTTTTAGCTCAGCCGCAAGTTGCAATATAAATTAAAGGACCCACATGGCATTTTTATGTGCAAGCAGCAACGTTAAACGACTCCTTCATTATCCCATATTTATAGAGACATCAGACATTTTGGCATGATCTCGTATTTTAGATAGATTCTATAATATGTGATAAAGTTATAGAAAAACCTTTAAATTTGTAGCAACTATTTCTCAATTTATATATGATTACTGTTAGACTAGGAATATATACCTCAGCATGGTTCACATTAATGTAAAAAACAAACAGTCTTTTATAAAATAAAAGAGTATATTGGTTTTGGTTCAATGAGCGTCCATCTAAAAAAGTCGTTTCGGTGCTATTGAAGCTAGAAAATAAACTCGGTCAAATTTTCTCGACATACTTACCATTTATTTTATATAACAGTAACGCTATTATTGTTAAAATCTAGAAATTCGAAATAAACAAAAATTAATTGGTCGGTACAACATAAATCTAGCATTGCTGGGAATTATTTATACGCGAAAATTCTTTAGTTAAATTACTCCACATTGATGTACCAAACACACTTTGGGGATATGCCAAATGGAATACAATTCCTATTTATCATCAAAAATTCGCGAGATATAGTAAAGTCGAGTCGAGTCCTAAGTGTTCCATTTAGCGGGGTACAATTTATGGAGACTTGACTGTATATACATATGTATATATAATACACATTCCACTCCGCGAATAGCTGTGTCTTTTTATAGTATAAGAAATTTTTATACTCTATTGATTCACTAAACATATATATCTTTTGATAACGTTGCACATCGAATAACGGTATATTTTCCAGTTTGGAGCGAGTGCCATTTATGTTATTGCCAATTTATTGCAGACATTTTATATAATTTAGTAGAAATACCAGGAGGTCGGTGGCGCTGAACTGCGCAATGCTTACTTGCTTTTGATGAGGTATTGTGCTTTCATTTCATACAACTTTTAATGGTCAACTTCTTTCCGAATAAATATTTATTAAAGCAAAAATTTTATTACTACGAAAACACCATTTGCAATAAAAATATTTGACTTCCCAATAATTGTCCGCATATTTTCGCATTTGCTTATATATGATTTGCTATTTACTTTACGTTACTTTTTGTGAGCAGCTCGAAATTTGCATCTTTGCAAAGCATCGAGCTGTCTGCAGTGGCGTTTGCTGATAAAAGATTTGATTAATTGTGAAATCAAATCGCTGCTGACCACTTAACAAGTTTCTTCCATGCTAAGCTCCACGCTAATAGTGCAAATTATGCAGGCGCACAGACATTTGGTCTGGGCAGAGGTTTTTGTGATGCTGCTGTAGAGATTCTGGTCGCGCACCCTTGGAGCATTGTGGCAGCTGCTGCGCTTATTTAAAATTTATGAAAACGCATCAGCTGCACAGCACGCTCCAATATTTGCTAGATAACTCAGTAACTGGCGGAGGCAAACAGCACGATGAGCTCGCCCAAGGACTAGAACAGCACAGGACACCTGCGTGCGTGTGTGGTTGTGTGTGTGTGTGTCTGCAGTGCACGCTGGACATATTTCACCAGCTTCGTTGGCTAGCAGGAGTTACACCACGCAGCATCTTTTCTGAATTTATGTGCGTAATGTGAAAAATTTCAAACAACAAATGTTGTAAATTTTTGACACCCGTACCTGCACACACACACACAGGCACACACTTACACGCCAAACAACGTGTACGATTGTTTGTATATGTGGGTGAGCAAGTACATTTTGTGTTTAGCCAAGCATTATTCCATTATATGTGACAGGCAACGACAATTGGTTAGAGTCGTGACGCAGACAAACCATGTAATGAGCGCACTCGCTGACCTGCGCTGCCGCAGGCTGCTGGCTCCAGTGGAGTGTATTAAAATGTGACAAACTGCTTTTAGTTAAGCCGCAACAGCATCATGCATAACGATAACGACAGCTTCTGGTCGCACAAAAATGAGATTTTGATTAATGCGCAGCACATTTGGTGGCGCAGGAGCTGGAGCGGCATTAGATGCGACATTGCCGAATTCCCGCAGTGTTTCGTCTGCGTGGCGCCTGCACTTGAAATGTTGAGCAAATGCAAATGCAACGAGGCCTCAAGGGCATGCTGCTGCATTCATTTGTCTTGCTCAGCACGCGGCAGGCAGTGGACCTGCCCTAAGCAGAACCATTGCACTTGACACCAGCCCTTGCGCATGCAACAAGGTTTTGCGTCAGCAGCAAAAGCAAGGGGAACAGCAGTAATAGCAAAGGCAACAACAACCAGAATAGTAGTAACAGCAGCAGCGGCAACGGGACTAGCACCCACTGGAGGCATCAGTTGACTAGTTCTGCACTGTAATTCAATTGGTTGGCATTAAATATTTAAAATGCTGACGCAGGTATCTTCTGCACAACCTACGTACGTTTCTACATTTCGTATACGGTCTGAAATCGAATTATGCACGTTGCACATACGCAACGTTAGCCAGCCCCCAAGCGTTCAATGCCTCCCAGTGCCGAGAGCTTCCGCTGAAACCATGCTTGGCTAGATGCTGCTTGATGTTGATGTGATGATGTTGGGCGCCCAACAAACTCTAACGATTTTTACATTAAGAGCGAACGAACGCCCATCTGCCAGCCAACTGTCTATCTAGTTGACAACCTCAACAGACGATGTTTCCGACGAAGTTTTGTTGCGCATTCTCTAAAATGGAAACATCTTCCGTAATGCCATTAAGCTTGATGTCACCAGCCTCGTGCTGTTACCCAAGCATCACATGATTCTTCATGAATAGATTCACTCTGTTTAATGGTTGTCTTTAATTTCCTTAACTGCACGTGGAAGATATTTTAAAAATGTAGCATCTTTAATTTAAAAAAAAAAAAAAAAAAAAAAAAAAAAAAAAAAAAAAAAAAAAAAAAAAAAAAAAGCCTAAATGACATTACGTTTTTAGTTGATTATACTTACTCAGGACAATAATAATTTATATATTTGAAAAATATACATACCTTATATATACAATACATATATTTGAAGAATTTTTCGAGCATGAATACAAGCTTTAAAAATCGCATATATTTTCATGGAATTGTGTTCATAATTTTATAGATTTTTTCAAATAATTTGAATATGAGGCTCAACTCCAAATCTCTCCGTCAATTTAATTTATAGTTACTAACATCACTTGTTTATTATAAGCTGGCAAAAGTTATAACTGAAATTTAAAACACGTAGATAAGCTGCTTTAACCATGGTATGCCACATTAAGCCTCGTTGCGGATTTACCCGACATCATGCAACTCACTAAAAATAAACCCGATGGCACAGGCTAAACTCTCGTTGCCAGGCTATAATCTATGCCGTATAAAAATAGCACGGCTGTGTATTTGTGCTCGGATGTAACAAATGGCAACACACTTTTCGGCCATTTGACATAATTCTCCAACTTTTTGCGTGGGCTTTTATGCAATACCTAAATAGAAAGTTGCCCGTATATAAACGAGGTTCGTCTGATATATTGTCGTCCTTGCCATGGAACTGTAGAAGTAGGCTACATTTACATATCACAGGCTACCCTCGATTATTTCCCAAATATATATATGTATACTTCAAGAATTATGCTTTAAAGTTGTTTGCTGCTTGCTTTTAGTGTAGTTTCGCTTAGAGCTAAAACTTATCATAAATATGCCCAACTTAAAGTGGACAGTCGGAATGCTCGGAGTTCAAAGTTTTGCACACGAAGGGAGCATCAAAATAATAGTTGACCGGTTCACGTCGGGTATTTTGTTTTGTATTTATTTTATAATTTATGTATTTTAATTTCTCATTTATTGTGCTAAAATAAAAAAAACGCAACATTTAATTCAATTCGATTGCGAAAAAGGCTTTTGACATGATATGAAAAAATGGAATGTAAATGAATATTAAAAGCAAAACAAAGTGAAATTATTTAAATCAATTAAATAAAATTTTGTTTACTGCCATCATTCCAATTTAGTTACTCGGGCTTTAATAAATTTCCATTTGCGTTTGTTGTGATTGCTGAATTAAATGTTGTTAAAAGCTGTTGGTGTTTCTGGGTTTCTGTATTTAATAATTATGAAATTGATTTCATTTACAAAACTATGTGTTTTCTTTAAATAGTATTGCGCGCGTTCTTATGATTAGTTACAAATGTGTTTTTTTAAATGCAGCGACAAGTTATTTGCACAGTTAATTAAAATTATATACACACATATATAATATATGGTACACACACATGTACGTCAAACCTACATACATCATATGTCTATATATAATGGTACATTGTTGAATGCTTCTGGATGCGCTGATATGTGACTATGCCTATGGGGGGTAGGGAGAGGCTGCTGGTGGAGGGCTCGTGAGAATATTCGTGTGCGTCTAGTTAAATGCTATACAGACCATGTGTCGTATACGCAATTTGCAGTTCACTGTTGCCTATTTCTTCTTGCCTTTGCGCTTGTTTTTGCTACGATTGTTGTTGTTATTGTTATTATTGTTGTTGTTGTTGTTGTTGTTGCTAGTGTTGCGACCAGTTTGCTTGTTCGCCTCAAGCCTCGGTATGCCGCTGGTGACAATGTTGGAGACAGTGCGCGTTGTGGTTACCACACTGGTGCTCGGCTCACCAGCACCAGCGGCCGCTGCCGTTGCGGGCAGCGCCTCTGTGGTCGTTGTGGTGGTTGTGATGGTTTCGCCCTGCTGTGCATCGAAGATCTGGCGCTGAGACTCGCCGCTGCTGAGCAGCCGATTGAATATAGCCTCCCCAGATTCGCCAGCGGCCGACTGGCGTGCGGCTTTCGTTTGTTTCTTCACCACCTCAGTGACGGTGACGACGGCGGTGCTGTCGCTGGAGGCTGGGAGTGTGTAGGTTCGCTGTGTTTCCACCACCGAGCCGCCATCGGCACTGAGCAAATCCTCAACGGATTTGCGCAGCTGTTTTGAGATCTCGGCCAGAGCCCGCTGCTCGGCCTGCAGTTCGGCCAGGGTGTTGCTGCATTTAGCCTTTCCACTTGCTTCCTCTGGCGCCTCGTCATCCTCATGCTCGGCCTCCCTGATGGTGTTGTAAGTCTGTGACTTTTGCAGCTTGCTGCCCTCAGCCCCAGTGTTGAGATTCTCGATGACCTGCGCGCCCTGCACGTAGGCAATGTTCAGTTGCTGCTCCGCATTGTCCTCCTCATCGGAGTCCTCGCTATCGTCATCCGAGGAGTCGCTGCTCTCGTCCTCTTCCTCGTCGTCGTCCTCCTCATCATTTTCGTCCTCGTCGTTCGCTGCCAATCGGCCAGCCAATTTATCAATTATGGTGCTACGATTGCTGGCCCTGATCAATGCATCCAGCACCTGCTGATTGCCATTCTTAGCGTCGCCCTGGCCTTTGGTCATAGCCGCCGGCCTCGCAAAGTCAACATCATCCATAGCATCACCATAAGCGCTCTCATCGTCATCGCGTGCATCTACATAGACATTTTCAGCTTCATCCTCCTCATAGTTGTCATTGTCATTGTCGCGTTCCTCCTCGAGGCTCTTTTGCAAATTCAATTTAACCCGCTCATTCTCGAGCAGCTCCTCGAGCACATTCTTCATCTTTGCATTTAATGACAGCTCCGACTTGCCGCCGCCAGTGGGCAGCACAAAAGTTTCGCTGCGCAGCAGCGAGGTCGCGCCGCCCCCAAGCTCATCTATGTCAAAGGGCGCGCCACTCACTTGTATAGTTCGCGCGCTGCCATCGCCTCCAATGACAGGATTCAGCACCTCCACAATGGTCGTCTCCTTGGCCAGTGTCTGGTGCATTGTCAGTGGTGCTGCTTTAATGCGTACCTTGCCCGACGAGACGCTCTCAATGGACGATGGGCCATAGCTATCCGCATCGTGGCGCAGGAACAGTTTCTCGTTATTCGCTTGCACCGTAACAATGGAGGCAGTGTCCTCCTCCTCTTCATCTTCATCTTCATCATCGTCGTCATCGTCATCATCTTCATCTTCGTCCTCGTAATCATCATCGGCAAAATCATCAGCTGCCTGCAGCTCCAGCGGTGGCTGCGTCTCATCAAGTGTGCCCTCATCCCCCTCAGGAACTTGTAGCTCCAACGAGATGATGCGCTCCTTGCACGTCTCCACCTAAATACATTGGAATCAAAATGCGATATGTTGTGCATTTGGTTTGCTGGCAGACAAATAACTAATAAAGGCAACAAGAAACAGCACCAAGCAACGAAACCAAAACCAAAGGCAAAGCAAGAGCTCGAATACATTTATATTCATAACTCTACAATGGAATAGCGGTTTTTATGTGACTAATATGAAGGTTAATGTAACAGAAATACAGAAAATACATTAGTAAACGTGATGAGAGTTAAAGAGGAAAGACTTTTAGTATTTCAGTAGTAATTTTTAAATAGCGAGTTAAATATAATCTGTTAGCAGTCATTGCTCATGCAGAGTGAGGAGTGTTTGTTCTGAGAAATTATCATTTGATGAGTCTCCCCTTTATGAAATGCTATAAAAATATATTTTGAGGTTAGTGAAATTCTTTAACAGAAACTATTTTAAGTCACTCATTAAATGGCATTCACAAACTCTATATAAATTAAAAAAAAAAAAAAAAAAAAATGCAGATTCTGGATTACAATAGAAAATTATTCAAATAAAATATGAAAGGACTTTTCGAAAACTTTTATAATATCTTATACGCAACGTAAATTTTAATTTAAAGAAATTATGTAGCGAGATTGAGTTGATAATAAATTTGAATAGTTATAAAATATTATAAAAGCTAAATGATCTCAATTACTATACGCAAAAATTAATTCAATTTGAATTTATAATTTTTATGATCAAAATATTCTATAATAAAATCTAGATGAACTCAATTGAAGTGTGAATCTGTTCAAAGTATGGATTTTAAAAATAAAACTATAGAAAATTACATATCCAAATGTGCATTTTATACAGAAATGGAGCATTATATTGTGAATGAATGCAGACAATAATAAATTAGCCTGAAGGGCCAAAGGCAAAACTAGATTAATGCAATGTGTACTAAAAGCGTAAATATGAAAGTTGAGAAAATGGAGCCAAAGGACATCTGAAGCGTGGATCCCATGGATGCAGCTGGCAAACTGATGACTATGAGGAAGACCGCTGAGAAAATTGCCAGCGTTTTCTTGCTGACAAAGTGAAAGGGTCCCATTGTCGAAACACGATAAGCTGCAGCTTGCCGCTGACAGGCGTCGCACTGAACCAACTCAGCGCACAGCTGCAGGCCGCCCGCAGTGCATTTTGCGCATTTGGGGTCAGTTGTGGAGGCTGCATTGCTTGGGGCCAAAGTTTTTGGTCTCGAATCACTAATGTTGGGTCTGGCAAGCCGGCTGGTGTGCCGTTGACGTTCTTGTTTGTATCGCTTCCTTCCGTATAGAAATTGGAACACAAAGCCAAGCAATGGAGGCAATTTTTAAGACTCAGATTTGCGGCCAAAAATAGCAGGGGCCATAAAATGTTTTGCGCTGTGTTTGGGTTTTTATTTCGATTGGAATCATTCAAACGACGCCACAGCCGCAAAACGACACAAAACTTTTGCTTTAATTTTAATGGACTCGGCCATAAAAGGCAGCGCGTCATTATAATGCGTTTGCATACATAAAACGAAGCAAATATCTGGCTCTGAAAGCGGACGTCGTTGCTTTATGGACACGTGACAACAACAAGCCCCAAAACAACACCAATCAAACTCTTTGAAGGTCTTTGGTTAGGCCCCAAGTGGAGCGGTGAGGCAGACTGGGAGGATTCTAAAAACCGCGACACTTAAAAGACAACAATAAGCACGAAAATGATTTTCTGTTGTTGTTTTTGAGCGCGCGCAGCGAATCACAAGACCTTTTCGCTTAGGTAGCTCGCAAAAGTAGCTTATTGTCCTTTTTATGTGCTGCACTTCGGTAAGACCCACAGCTTCAGGTGGGCGGGACGCTGACGCAATGTCAACAACGAAAGCCACCGAGGCCAACGGAGAGCTCTGCAGAGCACAAAAACAACAGCCAGAATAACTGATAAACATTGCTGGCATAGCACTTACAAGATGTGCAGATACTTTTTAGAGGACACCAGCCAGAAGCCGGCAGCCAGCAGCCGGCAGTGGGTATTGTGCAAGAGACGAGACGATAAAAATCATGAGCTCTATAAAATAATTAAGTTGCGTTCAGTTCAGGACTCTTGATGAAATGTTTGGTGTGCTATGTACAGTGATACAAGTGGAGAAGGGTGCTCTGTGCGCGGTGCATTTAATATTTTTTTAGGATGTGCCAAATATGTGAATCAACTACAAAATCGAGAGAGTGTGAGAGTGAGAGCGAAAGCGAGAGCGAGACGACGCTAACTCTTACGTTTACGCTTACGCTTACGCTTACGTTTACGCTTACGAGTATACAACAGAAGCGGCTTTCAACCAAATAAAATGTAAAACGCTTTTGCATTGCTCACGAAACTCAAATTGGTGCCAATTAAATATAAATATACGATGTATACACAACAATCAATTTCAGTTGGATTCGCTAACCTCCGTCTCGATGATTTTCTCAATGTACTCGACGGTTCGCAATTGAGGTTGCCCCGTTATGGGGCAGGGCACCTCCTCAGTGCGTCTCACAATTTTCTCATCGAGTATTTTCTCGCGTTCGCGAACGATTACCGGACCATCGCTCGATTTAATGGCAATTTTCGGAAAGACTATTTTCGGCTGCATTTCAGAGAAAAGATGTTAGAATTTAGAAATGAATTTAATGGAGTCCAATTATCAAGAAATTCGAAATTTTGATATCAGATTTCGTTGCGCGTTTTTCTTTTCATTTTCTTAGGATTTTCCATTCAATGCTCTAGCAATGTTTCGATTGAACTGACTCTGCATTAGTTACATTTGATCATGAAACAGAATCAATCGTATCTTGGGGTTTTGATTAAGTTTAGTATATTGTTGTGGTTAGTAAAGCAATCCATGTAGCTCTATGGGTTGTATTGTATTTAGCTGGTTAGCAGTGGCTCAACCGAAATCCTCAGGCAAAACACGCATGTTAATGGCTTCATTCGAATTTTGGGGATGGTAATTCATTTTATTTTGTTTGGGGGGTTTTGCTTGAAAATGGAGCAGTATGCTATGCAGTCTGAACACCGAGAACTTACCTCATTGGGCCTGGACTCATGCGTAATCAAATCGTCGGTCATCTTGCGCATATTCTTGATCACGTCCTGCGCCTCAACGGCGCCCTGTTCCAGCGAGCGGAGGCGGGCCGCACGCCACGAGGCGCGCTTCTCAGCGCTGCGTTAATTAAAAATAAATACAATATTAGCAAGAATTTGGCCAAAGAGTCTTTCTCTTTTTAGCTAACAGAACTCAGATTACAAGAAATGTAATTGTCTACATAGATATACCAGAGTGTACTTATTGTATATACAGATGTCGAGTGACTAAAGCAGACACCTTAAGAACTATTACGAAAACAAAGATAGTCGAGTCAAACTGAAAGTAAGATGAGAGTTGATAGTGTTTCCCTAGAATAAAGATTGATTTGCATAGATATACAGATATAGGCTCGAAAATTACATTGAAACTAATAGTTGCTATTCGCTTGTGCGTGTGCGATATGTTCGTGTGTGTGTGTATGTGTGGGTGTGTGTGTGCACATTGTCTTTGCCGTCAAAGTCTGTGTGGGAAATAGATACTTAAACTAAATGGCTACGCCTACGAGCTGTTCATTTGCTACAACTTGAACCTGTGACCTTTGCGGCAACTCCTGCCCACACGCTTGTCAACTCATTCGGCGCCACACTTCAAACTTACTTCATCATGGCTCGAGTCTTGACCGCAGGCTCTGTCGAAACGGCGCCTCGCTCGACCTGCTGCTGCTCTTGCTGCTCCGCCTGCTCCAACTGTTGGACGTAGTCGTCCACGGTGAGGCCGGCCTGGCGTGCAGCTGCTGCCAGGGCGCGGCGTTCTGCCTTCAGTGTGCGTACGGGTATGCGGCTGCTCGAGCTTGCAGGCGTGGCAGACTGCTCCCCTTCGTGTATGGTTGGCTCCTCCTGGGGCGGTGATTGTTGCTGTTGCTGTTGCTGCTGCTGCCAAAGACGCTGCTGCAGCGCGGGCGGCATCACAACTTTGACCTTTGGCTTGGGCAGCAGCGAGGGCTTGGGTGTATCTCCGGGCGGCGTCGCTGTGGGCGTTGCCTTCATTTGCTGCTGCTGCTGCTGCTGCTTCAGCTGCTTAGGAATTTTGCTGGGCGCGTGCGTTGCCTGCGCTTGATTTTGTGCGGTTCTGTCATTTTGTTTATTGCGGATTTGAAATTCGTTGGGTGTTTCAATTGTGCAAAGTAAAACACATATGAATATACAGATATACATATATAAAAATTACCAAAGATTTGGCTGGGTAAACCAAGTTGTGAATGTGTAATGCGGTTAGCACATGATATGAGAGAGCGGTTACAAGAACAATGACGTTAATTCATTTTAGTCGGATGGGTGTACGTGCCTGTGGCTCCATGCAACAAACTTTGCCATAACAAGTCAAATTTGTTGTAATTAAAATCCAAGAAACACATTGCGAACTTCTTTCTACCCATGCCAAAGCCAAATTCCCATCACTGACAAAATCACTTTTTGAACAACTTTGCCAACAAGTGCAATAACATGGCATCTGGAGATTAGCGTGTTAAGGCAGACAACCAAGGCACTGAAGCGGATCACAGGCCCAGGCCAGGAACAGGAACAGGAACAGAGACGCTTAGCCACAGCCAAAGCCCGAGACAATCCAGCGCAGTCGTAAAACTTGTGATGCCAGTTCACTTTATACATATACATACATATATATGTATATGCATGCAAAATTAATTTTAAAAGTGAGCGTACTAAAACTATTCGCAATAAGGTTTCATCTGGCAGTGCTATTCGGCATCCCTTGGCCCACATCCTCCGCATGGCCTGGCTGTCTGCCTCTCCCACTGACAAACTTTGTGGCCTGGTTCCCTTTCCTTTTCGTTTTCCCTTTTTTTTTTTTAGCTAAGAGCAAGTGGCTTTTGTCTTAAACAAATTGCTACACACTTTCGGTTCAAGTTTAATTCGAAATTATTGCAGCTGAATCGGCGCTGCAAAGGCTGCAACTTCTGCTTGAGTGATTTATGTATTTCAATTTACACGACGCCGTCGGCAGCCAGAAGCGCAGCAGCTGAGAAGTGCATAGAAAGGTGGCTGCAGTTAAAGGCTAAGTGCGGCCAGGCTTGACCCAGCCAAGCTGCACTTGCTGCACTATTCTTTTCCTTTTACTTTTCTTTTTCTGATTCTCGCTTATTTTTGTTTTTTTTTTTTTTTATTGCTCGCATTTGGGGGCTGCCGTGCTGCCGTTTGCTCGGCTCGTTTTATTCATTCATTCATTTGCCCTTTCGACTTTTAAATGAACTTTGCGCTGGTCCTCCAGGGGCGCCACTAGAGATGTCGCCATTTTGACCCAGCGAAGCGACGAGACCGTTATGTACATACTATAAAGTATTTAAGCGAGCTGAACTTTTGCAATTGACAGATTTATGTGCGTGCACAATGCTCGCACAACTTTTACAATGCGCTTTGAATTCACTTGATTTTTGTTTTGTTTTTGTTTTTGTATTGTACTTGTTGTTGTAGTTTGACATAAGTTAAATACGTAGTGAATATATTAACAATAACCCAATACCGATTTATGATTGTTGTGCGTTAGACTATTATATGCTTAAATAGTGGATGAGAAACTGCAATTGATTTAAATTAATCATATTTTCCATTTATTTGTAGACATTTTTCCATTATGATGWGGAGGAACAAAGATTACATACATACATACATACATTTATAAGATATATGACACATGTTAATCAGTAAATTCATTGGCAATGTTGTGAGCATAAATAGTAATTGATGTTTGGTTCTTGTTTATGTTGATGACGATGCATTGATACATATTATTTCGTGTGTGTGTGTAGTTTATTTAATACATGGCTTGAGTGCAGATTGTTTTTTTTTTTTGTACATATACATTCATATAAATATTTATAAAATATATAAAAAATTTAACGTTGACAACAACAACGTAATCGATTTCATAAACTTAACGTACATGCGTTTTGCTGGAACATGTTTCAAGGAGTTTCGCATGGAATTGTGAGTGCTACATAAACTGAGTATTAACACGGCTTTAGTTGTAGGACTTTATCTCCACAAGGCTTTCATTGCTTTCAGCATTCTCTTTTAAGAATTTGTCACTTTTTATTTATTTTGTTATTTAAACAAACGAATGCTGCTCCCACTGAATAATTGAATACCTAAACATAACTAAATCGAGTCGGGAATCACCCGTACCATATCTAACTAGGCACTTGTCTCTCCTCTCCTTTTCTCTGTCTGCACAAAGTCAACTAAACGCGCAAAGAGCATAATAATTAGCCTCCTCCCCTGCTTCTATAAAAATCATTAATTTTCCTTTCGTATTTTCTCCACTCGTTCTATCAAATATAAAATGCGTTTAGTTGTAGTAGTAAAAAAATATGTTAATAACGTGGCCCCGAGCGCTAAGAGCGGTCACTGAGTCAGTAAGTGGGCGTGTACTGTATGTCTGTGTGTGTGTGTGTACTTTAGAAACGCTGCAGGTGAGTGATTGTGAGTGCCGTAGAGCAGTGTAAAAGCATTTCAAGTGCTGGCAGAGTGTGCAACGCTGCGCTGCAGTTTTCGTATGAGAAAGAATTTCGGAGCGATTAAAAATATGTATATAGTATGACTTGTAAACAGTTCGTAAAAACAAACAAAAAAAGAAAACTCAACATTAACACTATGCTTATTAAGTGATGCTGCGATATAAAGTATATTAGAGTCTGTTGATTTGCGTAGTCATTCACATTGTCTAGGAATAGTGTATAAAAATGTTCTGCATATAACAAAGTGTGTTGATACTTATTTATGATAGAGTTAGTTGGATTTTCGTTTAGATAGTAACTTATTGTAGTCAAAGTCTCTCGCATAGAAAGTTTTTATAAATATATAGGTGTATAGGCTACGTATCTATATAGTTAGATATCAGAGCTTAGTCAATAAACGTGTCCCATTCTCATAAATGTAAGAGATAGACTGTGTATGTGTGTGTGTGTGTGTCTGGGTGTACTTAGTTAAGTTTTAGCTTCTAAATACTGCTTCAATTTCGTCAAGTGGATTCCTGAAAAAAGTTGGTGAGAAGCAGAAACAGAAAGTTGTTGTGATGTACAATTAAACAGGTGCATTGTTACCGGGCTTGCAGATAGACAAACAAATATAAAAAGCAATTACAAAATAATAATACATTTTTAACTAAATCAGAAAGTTCATCGTGCGAGCAAAGAAATGCTCAGCTGCCTTTGGATTTGTTGCCTTTGGTGTTGGTGTTGCTGTTGCTGTCTCTGTTGCTGCTGTTGCTGTTGGTGAGTTGTCTCGCGCTTATTCTTTATCGCATCATGTTATCGTGGTTTTTCCAAGCTTAATTAATATTTATGCGCCAAAAGCAGCAAGCAAAATGTACAAAAAAAAAAAAAAAAAAAAAAAAAAAAAAAAAAAAAAAAAAAAAAAAACAACAAAAACAAAAGAAGAGAAGAAAAAACAATCGAAAATCTGCCACAGAGTAAAATAAGCAGCAAAAAAAAAAAAACAACAACAACAACAATAATTATATTCGCCGAAGCTGAGCAAATGAAATAGCTAGCCAATAGCGCGCACACACACGCACACAGAGAGATTTAAAGAGCATCATTAACGCCCTCATTTTAGCTTAAGGTCAAATTATGCTTTTATATCAGAAGACACACAGATACAAATGCAGACTCACAGACAACTAAATGTTCATTTGCATATGCGCCACGGTGCTCTGCGGTCCATTTGTGGACCGAACGTAGCGCCAACGCCATAAAATATAAATTAATTTATGCGTAATCAACAAAACATAAATATTTTCATCTGCATAAAAACACAAAACACAAAGCGGCCCAAGAAGCTGCGCTCGGTCACAAACCTACCTACGTACACAAATGTAAATAAATATATATAGATAAAAAAACAAAAAAGCTACAAAGAAAACAAAACAAATACTAAAGCTGACCAATTGTCTTGACGGCGCGATCGATTCAAGGGCAACCGCTGCGCTAAACCGCCAAACCACCAAAAACCAATTGAAAGCGAGAGTGAGGGAGTCAATAGCCAGCCGCGGGCAAGCGGTTAGCTAAAGCATTTAAGTGTCTGGCGTCGGCGTCGGTGGCGGCGGCAGCATCAGCAGATCAACTAGAAATAGTTCATAAATTATCAAACTATAAATTAGCCGATTAATGCACAAATAATATTTCCATTGCGTTTTGCCGCCATCAGCGGCGACGCTGACGTACACGCCGACGCCGACGCCGGCGYTGACGTCGAATTTGTCGCCACGGAAGCTAGATAAGAATTTATAAACACGGATCTGGCCGAGCCTTTGTGCTACACAATTTTTATAGATTTAAACGAGTTTAATTTGAATACAATAAATACAAATACAAATCGAATTGAGAACATTGCGTTGCCGGCTAATTTGCGTTGCCTTTAGTGGCCATACAATATATACATATATATATTGTAAACATTTTTGTCGTTGTCTTCTTTATTTTTATTTTTATGCCAGCGATGAAATGTAAATTTATGCGCAAGAAAAAAAAAATAGAAAAAAACAAGACTAATAGAAATTCTTGCTGGGAAATTTTTAAATAGGTTATTAACATGTTTATCTTCTTTTCTTCGTTATGAGTTCCAAGGCCGAGCAGTGCCAACATAATAACATACATTTAAATTTATGTAAATTTTGGGCTGTAAGCCATTTGGTCAGTCGGCTCGGCCCGGTTCGGGTTCGGGTTTCGGTTTCTGATGCTGCGCAAAATTTGGTCTCAAGGTTGTCATTGATTTGCTAATCAGCTACAAAGGCCGTCATGTAATATAAACGAGATTCAAAGAGATAACTTGTTTTTATTTTGTTGTTGTTTTGTTTTAAAGAATTAATTAAAATGATTATTAGCAGTTCGCGCATTTTCAATAGAATTTAAAATAACAAATGTTTTACATTTTGTTTGTGTTTTGTCAATGAAAAAAGGAGCATTTATTTTTATTTTTTTCCGCTGATGTCTTTCCGACGCTCACATAATCAAATGCACATATAGACTCTTGGTTTTCCTATCGCTTATAAGATATATTTTCATAGCAACCTCAAACCGCTTGCACCCCACTCTGCGTACATCTAATTCGCTAAGTCCCAACGGACAGCAAGGCACAGCGACAGCTGATTGCCCTCTGGGCTGAGTCTGGGGGCTCCAATGTCTGGCGACTTGATATGGGTGCCACTCAATGATATCTCGCGTTGTCATTCGCTCATATGCATACTACGACGACCCGGTTGACAATTGCGGGAGCATGCAACGTTCTCAAAGTCTTTGTAACAGTAGACAAAATAATCAAAAATTAGAATTGGAGATATTAGAAAACAGTTTAAGGGTTTGGTTTGGTCTTAAAGGATATGAACTTATATGTTGGCTTTACAGTACTAGTCAGATCATCATGATATAATTTTATATTAATACAACTTATATACATTTAAGACAAACGTAAATTTTCAGACATTTACTCATTTTCTAGTAATAAATAATTTTCTCAAAACAATTTAACGTCCGTCTCCTTTCTGCTGAGGGGAATGCATTGATTTTTATTGCAAGTATAATTATATTATCAATATTATCAGCATTTCGATATAAGGTCTTTACCTCTTATCAATTGATAATTAGCGCCCCTATTTAGTTTTGTAGGGTATTTAGACATTTGTGCGTTTTGCGACAGAATTTGCCAGGCGTTTATTGCTATTTGTTTTGCGCCCTTCTTTCAACAACGTAGTGTGTATAAAATTGTATTAAATTACACTGTTGTTGCTCATTACATAATGCTGCCGGAGTCAACAACTTGAAACGAACCCGCCACAGGCTACGGCAGTCTACATTTAGCGTACGTTGCCTAATAGACATGCAAAGGTATGTCAGCCACGTGGACAGACAGTGGAGGGCAAAGAAATTTAATAACAACTGCTTGAAGGGTGCCATAAGCTACGGCCGGGAACGAGGATGACATCAGTAGTCGCTCCCAGTTCTCGTTTGGCATGCATTAGCGGAAACAAATGTACGGAAATGTACTCTACATATACAAATTTACAGCTTGATGCTGATGGCGAGCAAGTCACCAGAGAGAGGGTGAGAGAAAGAGAGAGAGATAGAGAGAGACAAAACAAGTTTGTACATATAATTACCAAATCCGTGAAAAAGACCTTCCTCACATACCGAATATTATACATTTTCATTTTCAGGCTGCGTTGTTCAGCTTGAAGAGATCATGTCCTTTGACACGAGAGAACATTGTAAAGACTTGTGGGCGGGATTTAGAATACGTTACGCCTACACGTTTCTAGGATGCTTAAATCAGCGCGTTGGTTACATTATGACTAGCTGGAATTTGGCTCGTGTACGCAGCACCCACGCCACGACCTTTTGCCAGTTGCCCGCTTGACATTTGCGATGCGTCGGATGTCCGCGTGGGAGGCGCAGCGCAATTTGCGGCTTGTTTGAATGATGAAGTTAACCAATTGTAAAAACAGCTGCCATTGGTCCGGCGGGAACCGAATTTGTTTGCTCAGTGCACGCTGCCAGTGGAGCAGCTGAGGAGCGGAGCATGCGAGAACGTTGCGTATACGCAATGCTCTGCAGAGTAAACGTAAATTGAATGCGGTACTGAGAGAGAAATTTAAAGCTGGCAGTTGTCGTAGCACTTTCGAGCTCTTTATAGATAATGCAGAGTTATGCGCCACTCGACGAATTTATTAAAATATAACTTGCTTTTCCTCTCACTGTTGCCTTTTCTCGCTGCGTTGTATGCTTCAAAAATATGTGGCAAGGGGCAAACATGTTTTTAAGTGGAAAAACGCCTCAGAGGCGCTGCTGCGATTTATGAGTCCAGACAACGCTTAAGTGCTACTTAAAACTTAAACTGCTTAGGGTGCATCATGCCCGCCCTGCTTTGCGAAGTTGTGTATACATACGTACTCTAGACATAAACATGAAAATACATACACATAGGGATTACTTAAATAACTATAGTAGATGCTTAGAGCACACACTACGTTTCGATGATGATGATCAGCTCCATCAAATGGCTGGATGTGTTTGGCATGTGGAGTGAAATAGATAAGCTACTAATGTATAAATGTAAATAACTGTATGTATATGTGTCTGAGTGTGTGTGTGTGTGTGTGTGTGTGTGTCTGTAGTAGAGTATGCTTATGGATAATTTAATTTAAGAGCAACATAATTAAAAGCATCATTTCACCAGCACCAGCACCAAACCAAAAGGCAGCAGAGGATAGATAACGTTACCAATGAAACCTAAAACTTAAAATGCAGCAAAATTATTAATAAACAAATGCACAAACACCGTAGAATATAACTAGAATGTGTTTAAATGTTTATATTTTAAACTGTGTTGCGGTGTATATATATGTATGTGTGAGTGTGTATTTGTGAATCATTATCATAATTATATATCGTGGTTTGACCAATTGTAGACGTGTCTGTGCATTGAAATGTAACATAAAATGCAAAAAGAGCGCAAGCACCAATAATCCAATAAGACTTTGCCATCAAGCACTCACCTAATGTCCTCCGCATCATCGAACTGCGCCCTGACAACGTTGTCAACGACGTCCTTGCGAATGCTCGCGCTCTCTCTGTCATAATCATCAGCATGGCCATCGTCATCGTCGTCGTCAACATTGTCATCGCTGTTGCTGTTGCTGCTGCTGTCAGCGTTAGCCGATTGCTTATCAGCATGCCGGGCGGCGTCCTTGTCAATGTTGTCATTGGCGGCATCTAATAATCTGGATTTCTTATCACGACTGAGTGTTGCAATTTTCTTTTCCTCTTCCTGGCGCAACTTTTCGACTTCATCCTTTGACAGGAATGAAAAAACTTTCTCTGCAATTTATAGTAAGGTCAGAAAACGCATTAAATGAATCGCACTTAAATGTCATCCTTCAATTAAATTCAAAAATATTCTACAGCGCCTGCTTCATTTGCTTTAATCCACGTGAGGAATCGCGCACATCAAAAGCAAGAGCTGAAGCCTTGCAAATGGCGAATTCTGGGAACGGCTCCCTCTCGTTGCTTTTTCCTTTGTCATGTAAATGCCTGCAAAACTCGCATCTCGCCATATATTCTAATTATTAAAGCCAATGCACGGAAACCTGACAAGGAGTGCCAGCACCCAGGTACGAAAAGCAACCGCATGCTCAGCGCACGCTTATACTATTAAATGGCTTCATTTTAAGCTTGTGAATCTCTCTAACTCGACTAAATACAAAAAAAAAAAAAAAAAAAAAAAGTTAAATTTTTAATACCCCCTTTGAATATTGTAAATAGGAAAGCAGCTTTCTGGTTTCAGATGAGTGGATTATAAACGGAGAACTAGGCTTCACCACTTAGCAATGTCTGTCCGTCTGTCCTACTGTATTCTCTCATTTTCATCATAGCAAATTCAAGAATTTTCTTGAAAATCTTAAAAAAAAAAAAAAAAAAAAAAAAAATAGTACATCAAATGTTTTTTTGTTGCTAATGACTGAGAACAGAGCTAGAACAAGCTAATGCGATTCTCTCGTTGTTCGTATGAGAGTCTGCCAATGCCTGCCTCTGGAAATTTATGCAGCTCCTTTTCCTCTCAGTCGACCTCTTTCGAAAATTACTTTTGTTTTTCATCTTAGGTCTATTTTCATTTTTTCTGTTTTGGGAAATATTCGTTTGAACCAACCTGTTTTTTGTGTGGGCTTGTGTTGATCCTCCATGGCAGACTCAAAGAATCGTTTTTTGTCGGATACCGATTTAGGCACTTTTGTGGGCGTGGGTGAGAGCACGGCTGGCACATTCTCTGCCGCAGGTGATAACTGGAAAAATGCAGTCTTTTGTTAGCAAGTCAACGGAATAAACAAAATAGAAACAAAAATTGAACTTTAAATAACAAAGCAAAAAATCAATAAAGGTTAAAAAAAAACAACAACAAAAAGTGTCTGCCAGTTGAGCTCAGTCGCGTTTCGTGTCTATATAATTTTTACGACTTTGGAAAAACTGCAGTTTCCGAAGTGATGGTCAAAGAAACCCAAACGACCATAAACCAAATTGATGGCTCCGCACAAGTTTATTAAAAAGCACGCGGAGCGATGAAGTAGCATTTGTTTGCCAGATACGTCAGCAGGCAGCAAAGAGGGAGAGAGAGCGCGGCAGGAGGACTTGCTATAGTAGCAGCAGCAGCCAGCGTTTCAATCATAAAGTGGCCAACCGTGTTGTTGTCCCGGGGCGGACTGGGTAAAGGATCAAAGCATTGTTTTTCGCCCCAAGCCTTATAATTTACGGGGTCGGGGACACAAATTACAGCTGGGGCAGTTAGCTGGGGGGCCGAAGAAGAGCAGAGTGCAGGCAGGGGCAGGACAGGGTCAGGCCATTTATCATCCAAAGTCGTGTACTGTCGGTTTTATGCTTTCATGCAATTTCTTCGTTTTAGGCAATCTGAGAAGCCCAATGCCAGTGGGGCAGAGAGCTGACGTGTGTTTGTGTGTGTACGTGTGTGAGTGTGGGCGACTGCTGTAACGACGACAAAGTCATTAAACGGCAGTGTAGAAAGAGCAAGAGCAAAAGCCAGCGTTTAACTGCACAAATTGCAACCTTATCCTATGGTTCGTATAGCACATACGCACGCACGCACACACACACACACACACACACACACACACACACACATACCAGCACAGTTACACACAGTAACGAATGCAACAACAGCCCCACAATAGCCAACACACAAGGCCAGGCTCATAAATAAAGGAGGCGACCATGCGACCAACTAACGACAAGTGCATGGAAAAACGATATCAGCCAACAAATCCACCCTCTGCTCAAGCCCATAAAGACAAGTCAAGTACACTACTTTATATATAGAAAAGCCATCAGCCAGCAGGCAGCCAGCCGGCTAGTATCAAGGATCCAGTTGAGCTGTATTTTTAGCAGAGAGAAATTAATTTCGTATCGAATTTTTCGATTTTCAATTAAAACTCAATACTTGTGCCAAGGGATGAAGTAAGAGGAAAATCATCAGCAGAAGCAGCAGCATCAGCAGCAGCCGGAGCAGCAGGAGCAGCAGCAGCATCAGCAGGAGCAGCAGCTCCCTTTTAGCTTGTGCCTTGATGCTCCTCCTTGCCAGCTTGAACGACTGGCGGGCTAATAGAAACTCATTGAGCCATGAAAGTGTTGAGAATATGGCTATTGGGAGCTCAGCCCCAGTGGCTGGTGCAGCCAGAGCGAGCAGTTGTGGGCAGCGCATTAAAAGCCAATAAGCTATAGAATAATTCAGACGCAGCCCTTGTTGCGTCAGCTCTCTTCCGCTTACATGCCTCAATGTTTGATATGCGTTAGTGTGTTATTGTGTTAGTGCTATCATCGATACCCAGATACCGCTTATCTCTCACAGCAATTAACAGTGTCGACTGATAAGATAAGATTGCAAGTTGGCACAGAGAGATGCCACCAAATGCGCCGCATCGCCCGAAACGACAAATCAGTGGAGCGCCAAGCGCCAACGAGTGCGGCACGCTTGCGACGTGGCCTGCCTGTGGACGCAGTTGGTTTTCGTTAGCCAATGTGGCAAGCAGTGGAAGGCAGCTAAGCTACTCATAGTGAATTATCTTCTCGATAAGCTTGGCTGTGATATCATATTAACTGACGACAGGGACAACACAAAATGAAAGATATTTTCCACATATCGAATTACAACAGAATCGTTTATTCAAGATACGTAGTTTAAAAAAATATTCAACTTGTTTCATCGTTTTGTTAGTCAAAATAAATTATCATTAAAGTCAACTTAAGAGCTCTATGGAAGAATTAACTATATAAATGGTAAAATTGTAAAAATTGCATTTGTGTTTGTATTTTTTCGTGATTTGTCTGGCTCTGCTGTGTGGATGTAGCTGTCTCTGGGTATTAGCTTCAATATTCTCATTGGTTTTCTACTCGCAAAGTTGTGAAAGGAGAAGAGAAATGAATCCACTTGCTGTCGTGCGGGGCGGGAGGTGCAAACTGTAGCGCTTTAAGCAACGAACTGTTTCAATCAACGTCAAATTAAACTGGACGCAAAGCGAGCAGCGAAAGAGAGATAAATAGATAGAATCGAGCAAGGTGGGGGCAAATATGTTGATTGTGGTCCTCAGGGACAGGTGAGGAGCGCACATTCAACTTCCACTGTTCATTGACCGTCTGTGGTGCAATTTGTGTGGGGTGCAGGGGACCTTCTGCCAAAGTCAACAAAAAGTCGCATCTAATTAGCAATACAGCTGCGTTGCATGTTGCCGATGATTTGTAGTATGTGTCAGATTGCAGTGGCCGCAGTGGCTCCTCCCGATTGCTTGACGGGCGCCGGCAATCATTCAAATATAAATATTGAAGCTATTGCTATTGCAGCGTCTGCACTCAGCTGCTCAATTTGCTGTTGCCCTTTTAATGGATGGCTAGAAAGGTGTTGGGTTTTAATTAAAACGCAAGAGCGACTACTGTGGGGGTGGGCGGCAGGTGATGGGGATTTGAGTTACACAATTTAGGTAGTTAGCTTGGCAGCACTTAAGCAGCGTCGCCAGCTTGACCCAGAAAGCAACAGGCAACAGGCACACGGTAGATGCCAGACGACAGGCGGCAGAGGTAGCTAACTCAAGTGGACATCGCGCCAGGAGGCGGCTACACGGTCGTCTCCTTGCCAGTCGGTGTTGAGGGCGTTTTGGGCGTGGCCGGCGGCGTTGTTAACAGCTGTGGCTGTGACAGTGAGCGTATCTTGAAATTACCCATGCCGCGCAGACCGTGCGGCTTCTGAGCCACCGGAGGAGGCGGTGCTGTGCGTAATTTACTCGGTTTTTGCGGACGTTTCGGGGGCAAGGGCGGCGGCGTGGGCGACTTGGAAGCCCGACAATTTAAGGAGGTATCGCTGCTGCGACGCGAGTCAAAGAACGCAGTATTGCTGTAAATGGCCTCCTCTTCGATTGTCGAATAGATTTCCTCGGCTGTCTCATAGTAGCTACTGTAGGGTGCACCGACCGCAGCGGTGGTTTTCGTCCGCAGCGACGAATTGGACGAGTTAATGGAGAAGGAGCTGTTCGTGCCCAGCGACGAATTCGATATATCAACGCGAGCTGTGGTCATGTTCTGGTAATTGCTATTGGAGTCGGGGCCGACCAGAAATTCCGAGAACGTTGGAAATTTCATTGTGGCATAGGAGGGTGATTTGACCGACGGCTCGGCGGCCGTGGTCGATGATGAGACAGCAACACGTGTTTCACTCACCGGTAACGCAGCTGGCGACGAGGCTGAGCTGGCCGCATGCAGATAAAGCGGCCCAGCTGAGCTGGCTAAAAGCACAGCTGATTGCGAGGAACTGGCGGCACCTGACACCTGACGCTGATCGCCGGGCAGCAGCAGCAGGTTAAAAACGGTCTGAGACTGYGGTTGCTGCTGCTGCTGCGGCTGTGGCTGCGAGGCCGCACCGCCCAGTCTAAGCTTATTGGGCTGCTGCGGCTGCGGCAGGCTGGCATATTGCACAGGCAGTATTTGGGCCGTGGGAAAGATTTCTGTGGGCGACGCGGGCCCCAAAAGCAGCGGCTGCGGCGCGGCATCCAGATAGTTGTTGTTAGCATTGGCAATGGGAAAATAAGATGTTGCGTTAGTAGCGACAGCGATTAGTGGCGGCTCATGCAAATGATGTGAGTGCTGGGCGGACATTGTGGGCGGGTCGGCGTTGGTTGGTGTTGGTGGCGATGGCATTGATGTCGGTATTGGTGGTGGTGGTGGTGGAGGTAGTGGCAGGCTGTCAATGTCAGTATCGGAGCTATCTAGGAATGCATTGTTTACCGCATAGTTGTTGTTGCCGCCGTTGTCACCACCGCTGATGCCAGCTATGGGTATGGGCGGAGCCGGCTCGTAGGGAGCACGCAGCTGATTTCTCATCTCGTTTTCGCGCAACAGAAAGTCGCGATGCTGCTCTGGCGTAACCAATATGTTGTCCGGCGAGTTCTCGTGCACGAAATCATGCGGGCGCAGCTGTGCCGGCGGCAGAGCCTCCATATAAGCAGATTCCTCCACCAGGGGCGACGGTAGCCTGGGCAACGGCGATTTGGGCATTGTGGCAAAGTTCACCGGCGGCGGCGGGGGGCTTTCACGAGGCCGGGGCGTCTTGCTGGCCAGACGCACGGGCAGCTTGGGCACCTGATGTATGGTATTGGTGCTGGCATCGTGCTCGAACACTGCGAAGTCACCCTGACCCACATCGGTGGCCTGGAACGTCTCCAGGGCCACGTTGCGCACCAAATCGGCCTTCTTGAGCTGCGGCTTGGGCAGCGTGGGTGGCGGTACTTTGGGTCGTGTGCCCGTCAAGTTCTCTGTCGACTTGGATATGACCGTGCTAGGAGTGCTACGTCCACTCGATGGCGACTGCTCGAGCAGATCCTCGTTGGAGCGCGCGCCACCAAAGAAGAACTGATTGCGCGGCGAACGGGGCGACATACTGATTGCCTTGGCAATTTGCGTATATTCATCGTCTTCACTGGGGTGCACCTGGCGGAAGGGATTCTCGCGATCCAGCTCACCTTGAGGAGGATCGGGTGATGTGGCACGCGAGACATGCTGCAGCTTCGGAGACTCAACTTCGCGTATTCGCGCAACGGTCGGCACAATGGGCGGCAAAGGATCTGGACGGCGCTCTAGAGTGGAACTGGCCGAGGAACTGGGACTAGTGGCACGGAGGATGCCCTTGCGAGGCATGCGACTGCTGATCTTCGAGCGGGTATCCTGCTCCGAGTCATAGGCACGCGTGAATCGATCGGGTGTGCGAGACCGCGAGCGCTCATAGTCGGACTTGGAGCGCTCGTCGCCACTTAGATCAAAGCTCACAGACTTCCGATGGCCACCGGCATACTCGGGCGTGCTGCGTCCCGAACGGGACGGCTTATATGGTCGACAATCGCTCTCCGAGTCGCTTGTGTAGCGGCCGCGCGGACGCTCAAAGCAATCGGAGTCGGTGTCCGCATATGAAGGAGGCGACTGCAAGTCGATGGGCGGCGAGGACTCTTCTTCCTCGGGAATGGCATCTACGTCATCGTCCTCATCGTCGTCGTCGATGATGTACACCGGCTCGGCTTTTTTGGGTGTTGTGGGCGCTGGAGTGGGCTCTTGGGGTTGGCTCTCCTCCTGGGACTCCAGCATTTTCTGATATGAGTAACGCGCTCCGGGTGCCAGTCGTTCCGGTGTCTGTGTGCCGCGCTGCTATTGGATTTTGGATTTTTTTGGTTTTTTATTTAGTTTTGAGTTTTGTTTGTTCATTTTGCTGGATGGTTGCAGCTGAAACTGCTTCCTTCACACACAAGCATGGAACACAAATTGCAATGTGCGAAGTTAATTGAGTGCGTTTGGGTGTATGTTTCGTGGCTGTTGGTGTGTGACTGTTGTGGGTGTTGATGGTGGTTGTGCGCATGATGATGCATATTTGGTGCTGCGACGAGAACGATGTTTTCCCAACGCTTACGTACACGTGTACTGGTACTGGTACTGGTACAGGTACAGGCACAGGTACTGGCCCCGCCAGCATTTTGTTAGCCAATTAGCAATGTCGCTGTCTGATGATGAGGTGCATTTGCGTAGCTCTGGCCAATTTGCTTGATGGATGGAATGAGCTGCACATTGCTTGATGCAGCGTACTGAAAAAACCGAGTGTACAGCGAGGCGAAACAGAGACAAGGACAGTTAACAGGAATGAAAGAAAACAATGAGAGAACTCACAATGAAAACAAAAATGGACAAAATATGATAGCTGCATCTAGCAATCAGTCTAAGCGCTTTCAGTCCACCTTCAATGGAACTGCATTTCATTTGTAAGCCAATATACTACATACATACTAATTGCTTTCCCACTCTCTATGATAGATAGTCCCGTAATAATTTGCTGGCACGATTATAACATTAAGATTTCATTTATTGACATCAAAAATGCACACTCCATTATTCTATTAATTTAGCCATATGTGTCATTTAGACCAACAATAACTAACAAAAGAATGGAAATAAATATACAACCAAAAGATCAAATCAATAGTGAAATGCCTAAAAACATCAAATATCTTAGTTAATTAACTATTAACAAATTGGTTTCCAATAACTGTAACATAATACATACGTAAGATCCTAGACGTACGTGCAAATTGATTAACACTCAAATAGTATAATGTATATTTGGCTTTAGTTTTTCATTTTTTGTTTTCCATCAAAGTTGTGGGTCGTATGATATTTATCAATTAGTACTATTTAGTTGAGTATTTGGACCGTTTTTTGTGCCTGTCGCACAGTGATACATATATGCGTATGCACACATATATATCAATAATATACAATAATAGACAGTATGTCATATACAAATACATACGACTCCTTAAACAGTGAATTTCAATACATTAACAGTATGTGAATAGTGGACGCCGCAAAATGGCGGCACAGGAATTATTAATAATTAGTTTATTTGCATTTTAAATAGGCCTTTTCATTATTCAATTAACAGGAGGGAATTTATGGAGTTTCCTCTTTTATGTAGTATACCTCTGCAGAGCATTTATTTTATTTTATTTCATTGGAAATGCTAATGTAAATGCTGCCGTAATAATACTTATTTACACTTTTGATTTTCTGAAGAATTTATTGTTTATAAGATTTGTAGAGAATTATAGATTAACTGCAATTTATTTGCAATTTAAAGTTCGCAATTATTTCATATTGATCTCTGCAAAAATATTTAATTTTCGGCGAGCCGAAATTTTTAAATTTCCTAAGGTTTACAATTCACAGTGAGTCCTTTAGACATTCATATAGTTAGAGAGCTAGTCGGTGAGGGACTTTTGAAACCATTTGCTTTGATGAGTGCATTCAGTATTCCTAGGATTCAACATCGAGCGAACTTTCTGTCTCACGTATGGATATAGTTTTGCTGTGGCGCGTTTTGCAGGCCCGTAACTAGTAACTCTTTGCCCATTGAACACGACAAGGCTTAGAATTTAAATGGCATTTAAGTAAGAGCGAATTAGCCATGCTGTTGCCTGTATTCTCATTTGATGGCTTTCTACTTTATAAGTTCCTGTATTTTAAACTAAATACTCAGTCTTACGGTGGGAAACATCCGATTGTTAAGAAATGCGCTGCAATGATATCTACGCAAATCGCCAAGAAAAATGACAATTGCGGAACGAACCGAAAATGCGAAACGCAAGAAAAAACGCGAGGAAAACGTAAAATATAATAAAAAGAAATGGATAAAAAAAAACGGAAAAACAATATGTTGAAAAGCAGCGAACGGCGCGCATGTCATTGAGAGCAATAAAATGGAAGAACGAGAAGAAGATAAGAGAAACATTTTAATGGAAATTCCTTTCAGCAGATTTTGAATTACTTATATATAGAAATAGATATATCTATATATAAGTATATATGTATATGTATATATAGATAGCTATAAGTATTTGTATACACATTTATTATACGTGCCATCTATGCATAATATTATTTCTGTTCTCTTTGCCTACTACTGCCAATGCAAATTCAAATATTACTGGATTTAAGGTACAATGGCATCCAGCAATAATAACAACAATAACAAAGAATACTAAGAACAATAACAACAACAACAACATCGTCAACAGGAAGAACAGTCATACAAAATAACAATGCCGCCCATGCCCAAGTAGCAGCCATCCAAAAGGTAACAATAAAGGCGCAAACAGAAATTGATATAAAATGTAAGTAGCATAAATAAAAGACAACAACAACAACAATCGCAATAGCAACAACAATAACAGTGAAGCAGGCAAAACGAACGTAAGCTGGTCTGCTACCAGGTTCTTACGAATATCCTAATAAATAATAAATCGTGTGCTGCCATTTCAATAAATGTGGGCCATGCGGTCCCAGCCCCAATTCCCTGGCCTGGCCCCAAACGGGAGAGAGAGACAGAGATATACCATATGCTACTATATAGGGGCTTGTGGCACAGCGCCCCGTTCGCATGCATTTGATCGCTATGCACTCCTACTCCCCAAGGTATCGATAAGTATGATTAAATAGTACAATATCGTATTAAATGAAAAATATAGCAAACAATATAAATGACATACAACACGATTTATAATGAATACACATGAGAGAATCTTATGGTTGACTTCGCCAAGAGTCTTATTTTAGTTTGATTATATTCTCTTAAGAATCAGAATTTGATAACGTTTTCTTTTCCAAACTAACTCTAAGCAAAGATTTTTTTTTCTAGTGTTTGGAAGAGAGAATATCTTTAAATTCTCATAATAAAAATCAAAGTTAATGAACAATGAGAAATATGATTCAGATTTGTATATATATATATATATTTTAAAGTTTATCCAAATGTTAGATCTGCTGATTACACTATGTAACAAAATTCTATACAGCTAAAATCATTTTTTTTTTTATTATTATTATTTTTTTTTTTTACTAACAATATAACCACCTAAACTCTTAAATGGCCTTCGAGATTTTATCCCGTTAGACATTTTTAATAAAATTTCCATACACAAATCTGAATTATAAAATTTGACACATTTTTTCCACATTCTCTACGAGCTGAATATCTAATGCAAATACGAAACGGAAAAACAAATCACAATGAGGCTCAGAGAGTGTGTTATCAATGCGATGCGTTATGAATTTTGATTAGCTGGAGTGTTATTTCGAATGAAATGAGTTAAGTTGAGGTACGAGTTGCATAAATTGTAAACATATTATTAAATGTAAAACACGGAACAGGCACAGTTAATAACAGACTCATCCACACCGACATGTATGTATATCTTAAAGGTCAGACGTTAGCAAAGTTATGGAAGAGAACAAACAAGCAAAGAAACAAAATATCTATATGTACATGTAAATAAGTAAGGGTGAATAATTTTTGGGTATTTTGTTGGTGTTTATGCTCGAGTTGGCTGAATGCGCAGCAGTCACTAGCGCTGGTGTGTGTTAAGTGTTGCACAGTTAAATCAAAAGGACAGACGCATGTTGAAAAGATTTTAAACAATTGTAACGCACTCACACACACACACATAAGTATATATGGACGTATAAGAAAGTACACACACATTTAGATAGACAGACAAGTCAAAGTAAGTTAGCGAAAGACGTGCAGTTAAATACATACCTGTTGTTGTTGCTGGTTTGGCTGCTGGCTTGAATTTGTTTGTGTCTGAGTCTGGGGCTGGGGCTGACTCTGACTCTGACTCTGTGCAGCAGCAATGGGTGCAGTGGCCGCAGCAGCGGTCGCCGACTCCGCCGGCAGCAACGTCAGAGGTGCGGGCGTTGTGGGTGTGGTTGGATTTGTATCGAGCGTGTGCTTCGATATAACAACAGTCGTCGTCTTTTGTATTTTATCCTGCTCATGATGCTCTGATGGTGATTTCGGCGGTACAGTGGTGAAGGCGTCCGCAGCGCGCACAATTTCCAGCACCTAATTTAGTTTAAACACGACAAGTTGAAAGTACGTCGCCCAACAGGCCTCTGACCAGCCAGCTAAAGGTCAGGGACATTCACTTACCTTCTCCTGGGTGCTCTTCTCCTGGCCAAGTGTTGCCACCTGCGTCTGCGGCTGCGGCTGCTGGGCTTGCTCTGCGTGAATGAGCGCCACAGTCTGCGCGGCAACTGTGTCAGGCTGCCCCACATCTGCGCTCATCATCGAGCCAGCGGGTGGCGTTGGCGTTGTACGTATGGGCGATGGCGACCCATGCACCAGGGCAGCGGCTGCTGCTAAGCCTGTTTGGCTGGTGGGCTCTGGCATGGCAGCAATGTCTGGTTGCTGTGACGCGAATACATCGAAGTCCTGTAACAGGGCAGGATTTAAAGGATGCTGCCACTGGAAAGGCTAATTTCGGGCTCACCTGTCGCAGACGCTCCTCATCGTCGTGATCCAAGCTGGATATGCTCTGACTTTGACTAAGCTCCGAGCCCGTCTCTGAAGCCCGAGAGCCTGCAAAAGAGAAATTTGTATGAATTCTACTATCGATGGACGCTTCGGTTGGCGTTTTACTTACCTTGACGACTGCCACCGCTGCAGGATGTAGACGAGTTAAAGCCGGTGCTCATGCCGCCTGCCTGACCAATGGAATGCATTAAACTCGACTTGTCGTAGCCCTTACAGACGACCAATTTAATTTCATTGCCAGCGTTGCGCAAAACGTTGACTGCATCTTGATGCGAGGCGCCCAGCAGCGAATGACCATTGACCTCCAGCAAACGCATGCCCACCTGGGAGAGGGTAAGAATAAGTTAAGAATAAAGTTTTATTCAGTTCCCATCAATTGAATTTAATGAGCTCTCGCTTCTGTACCCAACTGTCAAAGAGAGCCCAGTCATTACCTTAAGCCTTCCATCGCGTCGTGCTGCTCCCACCGAGTTAATTTTAGACACGAAGACGCCCTCGTCGGACGGATCCAGTGGATTACCGCGCTGTCCATTCAAGCCGCCCTTAATGTGCATGCCCAAGCGCTCACCCTCGGCCTTGGCAAGCAAAATTTCCTGCGATTTTCAACAACGGCAAAATAAACAATGGCATAAAAATTAGCATTGGCTTTGTTTGGGTGCTCAACATTTACAAATAGGAGCAGAGACTAAGGCAAAACAATTCAGTTGATAATGGCGCTTAGCAAAGCAGTGCAAACTTTTCCAGCGGCGGAGCAGAGCATTAAAAGGATGAAATATCCTGCCACTCGAAGTTTACAAATTTTTCACATCAGCGAACAGCAAACTTATATTCTCTACTTTTTCTCAAATTATGCAAATCGGTGTCTCATTAATTTTCCTATCCCATTTTGCTAAACTTAATAAGAATTAATTTACATATTATCTAATGGCGACTTCAAACATACTTTCATCTGTACAAACTTAAGTCTATCAATGCTATCATCGTATATTGGAATTAAAATCTATCATTTCTAACAATTAAGTACAATTTTAGCAAATAATAATCTAATCGCATTTATACAAATATTTATATCTTATGATAGATGTAGTTTTCTTTTTAGAATGTTGCATCATAACTACAAATATCTAATCAAATCGACTAGGAAATCAATTAAATAAAACTTTTTTTAAATATATATATTAGCGTATCTAGTCTAATTACCTTCATATGTCATCAAACTAAAAGCGTTATATACAAAACTATCATATGATCTAACTACAAATAATGAAAAATGAAAAGTTGAGGTGTGCTCGGCTTTATCTACATTAATTTTCAGGTGTGTGCATATTTCAAAATAATCGTTAGCATTTCCAATAGTTGGCTGCGGGTTGAGCATTGAAATATCTTACCTCTGTGTTTATATAAACTACTTCTATGTGCTTTGCATCGTAAATGTTTTTTTATAAGCAATCATAGAGCATAGATAAAAGAGAAGTATAAATAGGTTTTCGGTATTGACTTGAAGCTTACAAATTTGGATTTTTACAATCAGTAATAATCAGTACTAGTTATATATATTTACAGCATAAACTAATAAATAGCGTGGAAGCAAACTGAATACGAAAATGATCTATAGTAATATGCCTATAGGGTTTTCGTCTTAGGCTTACCTGGAAACCTGCTGGCAACGGATCATGTTGTATGGTGAGTTTGATCTCATCTCCAGGCTTCAGCAGCTCCATAACAGCATCTTGGTGTGTGGCCTTCGAGACGTCTGCCTCGTTCACCTTCAATATGCGATCGCCCATGCGCAGTTTGCCGCATTTCGAGGCAATGCCACCGGGCACAATCTAGGAGTGGAATGAATAGATATTTATAGCGAGCATCTCAATAGTTTATCCTGTCTGACTAAGTGATTGACAATCAAGGTTGATGGTTTCAGAAGTCTTAACAGTGAATCAATAATTTACAGCTAGTTTTCTGTCTTCTAATTTCGAGATTTTAAGGCATTTTCGTATTTTTTATACGAGCCCCCATAGCAGGTGGCACACATAGTTCAAAGAGCAAAAGTTACATTTTTAACAAAGTCCCTACATTATAAATTATTGAATAGCTTTCACATATAATTAGTGACATTCGGTTGGAACGAGGGGTGAACTGTGACGTTCCAAATTGGAGGCAAAACTTCGTCCGGCCAGAGCCAAAGCTGGGTACCATTCGCTAGTGAGTGTTTTTATGTGTGTGCTTTGAGTTCAGCAGAGCCCGCGGTTCATTTAATTGCTTGTAAAGATGCCGGCAAGCGCTGTGAACTAATTGTGCAGTTCATTTGCAACCGCAAGTTGTGGCACGTCAATTGCTCTAATTTGAAAAGTTTGTCCCCAGTTTATAGAAACGCCAACCCCACCGCGCTGCAATTCGCTTTTCGGTTTTCGCTTTCCGCTTTTCGTTTGACTTACATGTGAAATAAAAATGCCCGGTTCGCGTGTACCAAATGGCACACAGGAGTGATCCGTGCCGCCGATGATGCTGAAGCCGAGTGAGCCTTGATTTTTGGGCAGCACCACTTCCTACAGAGACAACGAGATGCGATATAAGTGTTTGTTGCGGCTGGTAAAGGTGTGCATAAGACTAAACAGATATAATACATAGCTACTAAATATTTAGGTGTTCTTTCTATCTGAAACTTGTAGAGCACGTGGCGAAGGGTGCTTATGTGGATGGCCTCATTTATGAGTGTGATTGTGTGCAAAATTGTTGGTAATATTTACATGAACGAATTTCAAATCTCATCTTAATATAAAGGACAGAGCTTAGAAATAGAAATAGAAAGTGACAGACACAGGCAAAGAGACAGAGACAAAGACACCAGGTTAACACCAAATCAAAACAAAAAGCCATGCAATTAACGCAATTCAACCAAAACAAACCAAACCAAACACAAACCATAGATATTAAACATAATTCAAAATAAGATGTTATGCACTTATAACAGCTTCAATGCATATCAAATGAGATTCAATAAGTTAAAATAATTATTTGGCATGTCGGCAAAGCCCCTGGTTTGCGGTTAAGTTTTAATCTAAATCCGTAGACGGAACATGTGTATGTATGTGTTTGCATATGCCAAACACAAGCTGCAACTTGTTTAAAAGTACTTTGAGCTGCCTGCGGTGTAGCACACACGATTTAAAATTCAAAACACGACACGACAAGCACATGCACACACCCACACACACACACACATACATGCAGATTCTCGCACACACTCTTTTACTGTGAGTCTTTTATTAAACTGTCAAAGTATAATTTCAGTTTTACATTCATTAGCCGAGCGCAGACGACATGCATCAACACAAACAACTTTTCTTCTGCAGAAATAAACTGTATCTCAGATTGCTTAACTTGGCCATAACTTTTGGCAATTCACTAAAGCAAATTGGACTCTTTATTTGGGAATGAAGTGCCGCAATCGACGCCGTTGGCCAAATGACGTACAGACGACACTGCCAAACTGGCGAGGGCAAGTGCCAAGAAGTGAAATGAAAAACAATTAAATATTTTATTTTCACTTTGAGTGCAAGTTGGCTTTCATGCCAGCCATTTGACAGGCGGATGAAAGATAAACCCTACAAGTTTTGTTCAAGGGCTGACAATGACACCGCCGCCTATTGCACTCTGGGCGTATCCTTGCATGTCTGTCCTGTCATTCAGCTCTGCTGCACTAAACGCACTTTTCGTGTATCTCCTTGTTCCGGCAATGCAATATTTAAAGCACTCTGTCTGCATAGCTTGCTCAGCTTAGTTATTCATGTAACAAGCGGTTGAGCAGCATCTCACACAATTGCAGCAATTTGTATTTGTTCAACTGGGCTTTAAACGATTGCCCTCAAGGGGCTTTTGTTCTACGGTTTAAGTGGATGTAAACCATATGTAAGTGCTATAATAGAACTCTTTACGTGAATTCCAAACAAGGATACTTGACAATTTAGTTTGAATCAATTTCAACTCGTGCGATGTTGCACAGTGTACACTGAATCAGCTAGAGCTATTGTTATCTCTGATATTTGTAAAACTTACTTTTTTCGACATATTTTCTATTTGTTGTTTTTATTTTGATTGTATATAGTTATCTAATCTCTGACCTGCTGAAGTACTAAGCAAATTTATTAATTATTGATTTTCATGTCAGCTTTCATCTGATATCTCTATCAAGATCTTGAGCACATTATGGAATTTAACATTATTGTTAAAATGATGTGAGAGCTAAATGCTTTAATTCTTTTGCTACTAATGCTTCCAGACTCAAACTCGATTCTCATCATAGTTACAGTTGTATTTGTGAATAGAGAGAGGTCTGACTTCGAACGAAAAGTAACGCATATTATTATAGACAATCGTATGAATGCGAATTATATTTAGCAATTGATTATAAATTACCAAAATTATAATAATTTATTTTTTATACTCGCACTTAGAATGCGATAAAAATTTCAATTAATTTAAATAATAGATTCTTAAATACATAAAAAACAAGTAAGAAAGCTCTAGTCGAGACTGCTCGACTACGAGATCCCCTGAACCCTTGGAGCAATAGATATTTCAATAACTTTTCGCGTCTTTCAGCTTACACAAGAAACACGCACACACACACACACACACAGGCACGTACGCACACACAGGCATACATACACACACACGCATACAGACACACATACACACACACACACGCATACATACACAAACGCATACACACACACATACACATACACACACACATACACAAACACATACACACACATACACAAACACATACACACACAAGCACCCACGCATAAACACGCATGGGCTGCAGTGTGCGCTTACTATGAGAACTTAATTGTTTAATAACTTTTTTTATGGACGTACGATCTTCATGAAACTTTCAGATTATGATTATAACATGGATATGCATGTAATTGCCAAAGCACAAGTCTCTAGTATNACGGACAGACGGACAGACGGACAGACGGACAGACAGACGGACAGGGCCAAATCAACTCAGCTCGTCACCCTGATCAAGAATATATATACTTTGTGGGGTCTGCCACGCCTCCTTCTCCCTGTTACATACATTTCAACAAAACCATTATACCCTGATTTCCCATTGAAAATGGGTTCAGGGTATAAAAAGTTAACGGTCTTAGCTAGTTTGTTAGTAAATGTCAAATCATTAGGCTTTTAATTAAATGCACCCAAATCTAATTGAATAATTATAAATCATAAATTGCATGCACCATTGACCAATCGAAAATCCTAGGCGATTATATCGATAGCAATATTAATGGGTTGTTATGGAAGACCATTGACCAACAGCAACGAAACTACAAAAAAAAATTACACTTTTATTTAAATTAGTTCGATGTGCGTGTTTTGCATAATGCTTTGCATTTCAATTACAGCTATTCAATCATGTGCACTGGAAAACGCATAGTTCAAACGCTTCAACATGGGAATTTGATGGATTCTTGGATCTATGATGGAGCGTTCACCGTGCATCTCAAGCAAAGAGGAGTTTTCCTTCGATCAAATCATTTCGTTTGCAAAAACGCACAAATCATTTTATTTACAATGTATATTCATATAGGTTTAATATAGGTGCTTAACGGCTATACAAATAAGATGAGGGCCAAACAAAAAAAAAAAAAGGAGAATAGAGCCAATTACATTCGTATACAATAAAATTAAATGGTGTTTTGGTGGCTGTATGTGTATGTGGGTGGGTGGGTGTGTATGTGTGTGTGTGTATGTGTTTATGGTGTGCAAAAGTATGTGAAAAGAAGCTCTCATCCTGGTTGTTGATTGCGTGTGCAATGAGCAGCTTAATGATGCCCCATGGGGCGCCTCCACACATGGCGCTACACGAACATTTCTCAAAATTTCCGCTGCGTTCGGGAGAGTTTCGAGCCATTCAATACACAGAGTTTATCGTGTACAAATATATATATATATATAGATATAAAGATC